TGTATTTAGCAGAGTTCGGATCCTCTGCTAATGTTTTCTAATCTATTTACCTACTTGAAGACTTGTAGCGCAAGGCATAAAAACTTACCCGGAAAACATCAGAGAATGTTGTCTTGCCTGCTGCAACAAGTCGGGCTCCAGCATAAAAACTGCAGGCATACACAGAAAAAAGAAAAAAGAACGAGAGCCCAAAACCTATCCCGCTGAATAACCCTCGTCTTATCCCTGTCTTAATAGGGCCTTCACATTTCTTCTGGTACAATTCAATCACCTTCTCTTCAGCACAAAAGGAAGCAATTGTTCGAATACTTCCCACTGCATCATTGGCTACTTGACTTGCGTCCTCATACATTTTCTGCAACAATTTTAAATTTTCAGCGTTGACAAAAAGAATTGGTCTTATATATATTATGTATGTTGTATTGGATGGTGTTTTGACTGCACCAGCTACAAGTTCTATACACTTTTGTAAAGTTTGGACTTTGGAGAAATACCTTTGCATCTGCACTGAATCCTTTCAAGAACTTGACTTGAGCATAACCAGTTACTCCTAATAGAGGCATCAAAACCAGGATTATAAGAGCAAGTTGCCAATTTGCCACAAAAGCAATACACAAACCAGCAATTGCAGTTGCTGAATTCTCAACCAGCAACCCTAGAGCATCTCCAACCACCCCACGCAGAGAAGCTGCATCTGCAGAAAGCCTCGCACCAATTGCACCGCTTGAGTGCTCAGGATCGTCAAACCAACTTACTTCCATGTAAACCACCTTCTCATAGCACATTGACCGAACTCGTTTTATTAACTTACACCCTGCCACAGCAAAAAAGTATTGTCTTGCTGGCATTGCTATGAAAGTCACCACCCCAAGAACAATGAAGATTAATGCCCAAAACTTCGAATCCTTACGGAGTTGAGGAGGTGGCTCGTAGAAGGTCTTGATTACACTGGATATCAATATCGCAAAAATAGGTAAGATTACCCCATTGACTGCTGCAGCTATAGTACCTAGTAATAATACTGGGATCTCTGGCTTGTTCAGGTAAGCCAGGCGGCGAAGTGAGACTTCTGGAGGCACCCTTGATGATGCTGAACCTGGAATATCACGTCCTGCAGATGCTGTTTCAAGAGAATCGACTGCAATGGGCACACCGTATGAGATTGAGAAGGAATGACGGTTACTATTTCCTCTTCCAGATGATCCACGACTTATGGATCGTAAGTTTGAGAATCTTTTACTTGAATGTCTTCGAGAATCCATGCTGCTAAGCCTTTCGTGATCATTTACAGCAGTCTGTTCTGACACGCTGCTCATTTCTTGCAACCTTATAAGCTGGCTATATGCTCCTTCAGGGTCCTTAATTAGCTCAGAATGTGGCCCTGCTCAGTTGACAACGATCAGTATGTGCAATACCCATTGACTATGAATAAGATGAATTGTAACATTATGTTGATCTATAGACAATACGATTTGGCCATCAAATGGTACAACAGGACAACATAAACAAATGCATTACCCTTTTCAACAATTGTTCCTCGATGTATAACAGCAATGGTGTCAGCATTCCTTACTGTGCTCAAGCGGTGGGCTACAACGACAGTAGTCCGGTTGATCATAATTCTGTCCAGTGCCTCCTGCACAATTCTCTCAGATTCTGCATCAAGAGCACTTGTGGCTTCATCTAAAAGTAAAATCCTTGGGTCTTTGAGAATTGCTCTAGCTATTGCAACTCTCTGCTTTTGGCCCCCAGATAGCTGAGTTCCATGCTCACCAACCATTGTGTCTAGTCCCTAAATGCATAAGTCAGAAAACCACAAATAAGAAAAAAAGGAATTAAATGAGTTGTTCGAAATCATCCGAGTTTTTTTGAAAATTCATGTGACCTATCTGTATTTCCATCTTTGAATGTAACAAAATGATAAGATCACTGGATGTCTCAATAAGCTTCCATGGTCGTGGAAATTAAGAATTCACACAAAAAGTTCTGAGAACAAAATACCAGAACTTGGATGGAAGTTTAAATGAATTTAACCTGGGGCAGTTTGTCTATGAATTTAGCAGCATTGGCAAGCTCAGCCGCAGCCCTTATTTCTTCAGTGGTTGCACCATCCTTCCCATAGGCAATATTATCTTTAATGCTACAAGTAAATAAAACGGGTTCCTGGCTGACAAGGCCTATTTTCTGTCTGATCCATTTCAGCTGGAACTCTTTGAGATTAATACCATCAATAAGAACTTCGCCAGCTAGGGGGTCATAAAATCTCTCAATCAAACTGATTACAGTTGATTTACCACTTCCACTCTCTCCAACCAAAGCAGCAGTTGCACCACTAGGTATTGAGAGAGAAAATCCATCGAATATTTGTTCATCCGGTCTTGCAGGATAACTAAAATAAACATCTCTCAGTTCTATGTCTCCATGGATATCATGTAATTGTTGCCCATTAGTGTCAGAAGCATCAATCTCAGGCTTTCTGTCAATTGTCTCAAACATCTTATAAGCTGCAGCTTGTCCAGCAGCAAATGCACTCAAGCACGGAGATGCCTGCCCTAGAGACCTGAAAATTTATCATAGAAAGCCGAAAGTTATATCTTGATCTTCTGAAGAAACACATATCAAATTTTGGACTGAAGGGGGGAGGGGGAGTAGACAGTAGATCACGCAAAAATGCAAACATGTTAACTAGTACAATAGTACTAGGATCAACAAATTTGTTCATTATATTGTACTGAAATGAAACTTACATGGAGCCAGTCAACACAGCGAAAATTACATTAATGACTTCCCCTCCTGTATATCCTTTTTCTAGTATCATCTTTCCTCCAAACCATATAGCCAGAGAATAACTACACATCATAATCAGCATAACCGAACCCATTCCGAACCCAGATGCCAAACCCTCTTGCACACCAGAGTTGTAAGCTTTAATTAAGGAGTTGTTGTAAT